CTGCTTGAACGATAGGGAATATAAAGCTACAGAAATGAAAATAAAGTGATAATCCCGTGTAACTTGGATTTAGAACTTGAGTTGGTAAAAAATTGTGTTCCATTTATACCTTTTCCATAAACAAAATGTGAGCCTGTAGTCACTTGTAATCTGCAACATCTCAGACACATTGTGATATTTACTTTTGGAAAGGTAAGTTTTTTTGTTTTTATGTCTGATTAGCTGCATCTGTGTATTTGTTTTAAAGGCTTTGTAGAAACCATTCTTAAATGTTTCATTATTTTATGACAATGAGTTTATTCGTAGGTCATATTCTAATAAATTTTCTTTGCAAAGTTTGAAATAAGGCATCATTTTCAGTGAAAAATGTCTTTGTGTTTAAATGACATTATTGAATTACAGTATAAAATGGCAAACTGTTAAGAGACAAAATTTTATTTTCTTCATGTTTTGAGGTTTGGTATTCATGAATGCATAAAAGCATCAAACATTTACTTTGAAGATCTACACATAAAACTATTTATTTGAATATGGACATCTGAATAAATCATCAAGATCATCTAAATACTATTTCTAATTATGATTTCAGACATTAGTCTTGATTAAGTACTGCAGCCGTTTTTTGAAGCCATTTAGGGATTTCCCAGAACAGATCAGTGGTTTTCTTTGTCCAGAGGAAACATTTTTAACAAAGTAATAAATGGACTTCTAAAAAATTTAGTAATTTCAGAGGGAAAATATTCTTCATTATTGACATTAATGTGAATAAGCTAAGAGATTATAGAATCTTCAGTTCTAAAAGATGATGAAGAATATAAAATCTGAACTTGGATGAAACTGACCTTTCTCTGCTATTAGATGAAGAGGATTGTCTTCATGACTAATGTAAGAATTTAAAGTAATGAGGCACATTGATAAGTGAAACGTTGCAGCCCTAAGTGTGTTCTGCTCCCTGTCACGGACAGAAGGGATGGGCAGAAATCTTTGTTAGGGATGTGGTGCGTCAGTGTGTACTGGTGTGAAGTGTAGAGGAGTGTTGTTTTAGGTTTTGTGAGGTGATGAGCTGATATGGTCACTTGTTTGAGTCGATGCACATTGGTGGAGTTTTAAATTCGCAGTGTAGAAGGGAATGAGCACTTATCAGAACAGAAGGAAATGTGGTTAAACGGTTTCGGCTCTCATTGCAGCCTATTTCCCTTGGTCCAAATGGGAGGAGAAATGGAACCTTAGGGTTTAGGGTTTTTTTCCAATATTAGCAAAAATTTGTTCAACATGGTTGATTGAAGCCCTTAGCAAACATTTGTGTGTAGTAGCGAAGGAGAGTGACATAATGTGTACTAGGAAGGCATCACTCCTCTGGGTTTATTAGCATCTCAGTAATAATTTTTCTAGCATGTTTATAATTAGCAGTCACTTATTCAGCATCCCTAAAAACAAGGGTCTTAGACACTTTTTGAAGAAACTACTGAATTGAATAAACCAAAAAATGAGGCTTCCTGCTTTTTCCTCAAAATGAGAAACTGTTACTGATTCTATATAATTATATAAGTAATAAAGACAGTTTTCGACTCACAAAGCACCAGGATTATCCAAAGAAAATATATTTGGTATATATAAATGAAAAACCTCATTTATTTATAAAGATGGATCTGATAATGGTGTTTTGAAAACTCATTGATGTACTGCATGTGTCCTCTGCATTTTAAAAGTCTTGTTCAAAGCAGGTGATAAAATAAGTATGCTGATTTTTTATTCAGAAATTCATACTTGAAGTAGAGAAAACCTACAATGTTTTAAAAAGTAATTGTTAAGGGGCCAGCCCCATGGTGCAGTGGGTTAATCCTCTGCCTGGGACGCCAGCATCCACATGGATGCCAGTTCTAGTCCCGGCTGCTCCTCTTCCAATCCATTTCTATGCTGTGGCCTGGGAAAGCAGTAGAAGATGGCCCAAGTGCTTGGGCCTCTGCACCCGCATGGGAGACCAGGAAGAAGCACTTGGCTCCTGGGTTTAGATCAGCACAGCTCCAGCCATTGCGGCCATCTGAGGAATGAACCAATGGAAGGAAGACCTTTCTCTCTGTCTCTCCTTCGTACTGTCTGTAACTCTACCTCTCAAATAAATAAATAAAAAATTTTTAAAAAATAAAAGTAACTGTTAAGTTAGTGTCATGTTAGGGCAGAGATTTTACGATCTTTAATCTCTCATGTTTTTTATCTGTATTACAAGAAAATATTCACCTCAAGATGATAGCATAGCATCATCCTACCTAGATAAATTTTTAGTTACTCCTGAGGACAGTTACTTTTGGACACAATCTGAGGACTAATTTAGTAATTGAAAATCATCTTAGTTTGGGGATCAACTCTAGGGTTGTTACTTACTTAAAGAATGGTGGAGATTGGAGGGGCGTTTGACCAGGCAGTTCACATGCCAGTTAAGACACATGCAGTTCCGGAGAACCTGTATTCAAGTCCCAGTTACACTTTCATTTCCAGCTTCCTGCTGGTGCACTTCCTGGGAGTCAGCAAGTGATAGGTAGCTCACGTAGTTGAGTCCCTGCCACCCAAGTGGAGACCTGGATTGAGTTCCTCACTACAGTTTTGGCCCAGCCTCTACGGTTACAGGTATTTGGAGAGTAAACCAGTAGATAAGAACTCTGTGTGAATGTTTATGTGTCTGTTTCTGAAAGAAAAGAAAGAATTGGTAAGCAAATTGTGGGGTTTTTTGGTAGAAGAAAAGTTAATGCAATTGTAAAACTTAAATTCCAAAAAGTAAGGCTATAGGAGTTTTCTAATACAGCTAATGGTTTACCAGAACGATACTTTCATTTCAGCAGTTTTGACAGTCTTTCTAAAATTTATTGGTACTTTCTAAACCTCAGTGCATAAAATACAGTGAACATACTGAATTTTCAGTAACTTGAGATATTGCAGCATGCTGTAATACTCCTTTTAATTTTTATTTACTTGAAAGTCAGAGAGAGCTCTCAATCCTTGGTTAAGTCCCAAAATGCATGCAAAAACTAGGGTTGGGCCAGGCAGAAGCCAGGAGCTAGGAACTCAGTGCAGATTTCCCACATGGGTGGCAGGAACCCAGTTATTGAGCATCACTTGTTGCCTTCTAGGGTGCCCATGAGCAGGAAGCTAGAACAGAGCTGGGGCTTGTGCCCAGGCACTGCATTATGAGATACCAGGTGTCTTAAATGGCATCTTAACCACCAAACCCCCACCCCAGGATACTCGTTTTAGATATTTCTCTAATGTACAAGCTATTTAAATTATCTTTTATATGAGAGAGAATTTCATAGAAAATTTTCATATCTTTTGAAATATTTATTACATGTTAATTGATTTTCTTAATCTGTAGTACTTAAGTTCAACAGTAAGTGGAAGTAACTATTTTGAATTAACATCAGGTTCTTTTTTTTTTTTTTTTTTAAGGTTTATGAAAGTCAGAGTTACACAGAGAGAGGAGAGGCTGCGAGAGAGAGAGGGAGAGGGAGAGAGATCTTTCATCCGATGGTTCACTCCCCAAATGGCCGCAACGGCCGGAGCTGTGCCGATCTGAAGCCAGGAGCCAGGAGCTTCCTCCAGGTCTCCATTTGGGTGCAGGAGCCCAAGGACTTGGACCATCCTCCAGTGCTTTCCCAAGCCAGAGCAGAGAGCTGGACAGGAAGTGGAGCAGCCAGGTCTCGAATGGGTGCCCATATGGGATGCCGGCGCTTCAGGCCAGGGCGTTAACCCACTGCACCACAGCGCCAGCCCGTGAATTAGCATCAGTTTCTAAAGATATGATTGTTAACTACAGCCATATCCTGTAATCCAAAAACTTTTTTTTAACATTTATTTTATTTATTTGAAAGATAGAATAACAGAGAAAGAGGTCTTCCATCTGCTGGTTCACTCCTCAGATAGCTATAACGGCCTGAATAGGGAGGGCCAGGCCAAAGCCAGGAGCCTGGAACTCCCATCTGGATCTCCCACGTGGGTGGCACGGGTACTTGGAACTATCTTCCACTGCCTTCCTTGGCACATTAGCAGGGATGCAGAGCACCTGGGACTTGAATAGGAACCCCTGAATGGGATACCAGTGTTTCGGGTGGTGGTTTAACCCGCTGCGCCATGTCGATGGCCCCCTAAAACTTTCAAGTTATATTTAAAAGACTGGGAAATAGCTTGAATTAAAATCTGTATGAAGTATAGCAGGAGTGCTGATTCAAGTCCCAGGTACTCCATTTCTGATACAGGTCCCTTGCTAATGGTGCCTAGGAAGCAGTGAATGATGGCTCAGGTACCCGAATCCCTGCCATCCGGGTGGGAAGTCCAGGTAGGGCTCCTGGCTTTTTGCCTGGCCCAGCCCTTGCTGTTGTGGCTGTTTGGAGACTGAACCAGCAGATGGAATATCTCTCTCTGTCTCTCTCTAACTCTGCCATTCAAACAAACAAATCTTTTTTTAAAAAGAGGGGTGGGGTGGATAGGTGGGTGTTGTGGTGTAGCAGGGGTTAAGCTGTTGCTTGGGATGCCCACATTCCAGATCCGAGTGCCAGTTCCAGTCCTTGCCGCTTCCAATCCAGCTTCCTGCTAGTGTATCCTGGAAGGTAGCAGATGATGACCCAGTAATTGAGTTGCTGCACTCAGCATGGGAGACCCAGATGGGATTCCTGGCTTTGGCCTGGCCCAGACCTGCTGATGTTGCCATTGAGGGAATGAACCAGTGGATGGAAAATCTCTCTCTGTCTCTCACTCTCTGACACTCAAATAAATAAATAAAACTTTTTTTTTAAATGAAAATAATTTGGAAAAAAAAATCATAACCAGAAATAAAACACTAAGAACTAGATTAACAATCTTTAGAGCATGGTCAGAGGCTATAGTGTTTATATATACTTTTTGGTAATTCTTAATTTTTCTTTTTAAGAAACATGTAGGGTTTAAGTCATCCTTTGATTTTCTTGCGTATGGTGTGTTTTCGGTGGTTTTCATCCTTTTTTCTGTCTTAGGTATACTTGAAGGCTCCTATGATTCTGAATGGAGTCTGTGTCATCTGGAAAGGCTGGATTGACCTTCAGAGACTGGATGGGATGGGCTGCCTGGAGTTTGATGAGGAGCGAGCCCAGGTAGGGCAACTTGAGGCTTTTTTGAACATGGTCCCTTTGCCCCTTAATCTTGCCTTTGCTAGGAATCTGTTTAAGAGTTAAGTATAGAAAGTATTATGTTCAAATAATATTGAAAATCCTAAAGACATTAAGCTGCAAATCCTGGGCCTGATTTTGAGTTTTTCCTATAAGTGGTTTCTAAATTTCATTGGTACCCTGCTCAGGGGGGACTTCAAATTCCCATAAATGGTTCTTTCCAATATTTGTTCTTTAGCTTTTATAACATTATGTGAGGGGGTCAGAATAAAAGGTAGGAGCATTACTTTTTGGAATGCCTGAGTGTGGCGCTCAGCAAATCCTTCCCCAAAAAGCAAGGATGAAACTGAATTGGGAACAGACGAGACACCCATTTAAGGTCTCTGGAAATCAGAAGACATAAATTGAGAAGCATTTATTCAGAGAAAGATTTTAGTAAGACCAGTGATAGTTTATGGCATTTTAGTCAGGAGCTGCTCTTACCTCTCCCCAGCTCTGTAATCCTTAAATTCTACCCTGGGCAGACAGGGCAAGCCGTAAGGATTGGCTGTCAGAGAGAGCTGATTGGTATTTATTTATTTATTTATTTATTGACAGGCAGAGTTAGAGACAGAGAGAAAGGTCTTCTTTCCGTTGGTTCACCCCCCAAATGGCTGCTACGGCTGGCGCACTGCACCGCTCCGAAACCAGGAGCCAGGTACTTCCTCCTGGTCTCCCATGTGGGTGCAGGGCCCAAGCACTTGAGCCGTCCTCCACTGCCTTTCGGACCACAGCAGAGAGCTGGGCTGGAAGAGGAGCAACCGGGCAGAACCGGCTCCCCAACCGGGACTAGAACCCGGAGTGCCGGCACCACAGGCGGAGAATTAGCCTAGTTTGCTGCAGCACCGGCCAGCTGATTTATTTAAAGCAGATCCTAGAAAAAATTCATGCCCAGGGATGTCGTTGAAAACAGCTAAGGACTCATTGGCAAACAGGATGGCAAAACTATTGGTGCAGGAAGCTAATGAAATGGAGATTTATCAAGGAGCCCCAGGGAGAGAGAACTAAAGTGAGGTCTACTAAGATCACATCCATGTGGTCTGGAACGCCATGTGCATGTGCAAAACTACACTTGTTGTGAAGAAGACACAGAATTCTCTTGCACACTACTAATCCCTGACTGGATTGAGGGCAGACTGATAACCTGCTGAACTTTGAAGCATCACACACACAGATTGAATGGCAAGCAATGGAATCCTGCTGGCTCAAGGTGTTAAGCAAAATCTCTCACAAATCACTGGCTAACAGCTAGGCTATGCTGACCTAGAAGTAGCCTCCCAAAAAGACTTAGAAAACAAATTAAGCAGTGAATTCAGAGGCTATCCACCGCTGGAGAAAAGAGACTACAGAATAAGTTAGGAAAGTAACTAAACAAGTATCACCAACAGGGGTCAGAATGCAGAGTTCTTCCAGTCATGAGACACAAATCAAAATGTGTGACTCCTATATGGAGGAAAATTGTCAAAGGAAAAGGAAACTATCTTTGCATTTGTGACACGTCAAATAGTTACTCTAAACATGCTGGAAGAAGTGAAGGAAAATTCTTTGCTTAAAAACCAAAGGGGGAAAATAAAACCAAAGGAAATTATGATATCACTCATCAAATAGAGAATATCAGTGAAGAGTTCATTGATAAAAAAAGAATCAAATACAAATTTTAGAATTGAAAAGTACAATAATTGAAAAATTTATAGCAACAGATGTGAGCTGATAGAGGAAAGAATCTGTAAACTTGAAGAGATAACCAATCTGAAGAATAGACAGAATAAAATGAACAAGTTCTTGGAGATCGTGGGATATCAGCATTCATACTACTATATATATATTTTTTTAATTTTTATTTATTTATTTGAGAAGTAGAGTTACAGACAGTGAGAGGGAGAGACAGAGAAGAAAGGTCTTCCTTCCATTGGTTCACTCCCCAACTGGCCGCAACGGTTGGAGCTTCGCCAGTCCATAAGCCAGGAGCCAGGTGCTTCTTCCTGGTCTCCCATGTGGGTTCAGGGGCCCGAAGACTTGGGCCATCTTCTGCTTTCCCAGGCCATAGCAGAGAGCTGGATTGGAAGAGGAGCAGCTGGGACTAGAACCGATGCCCATATGGGATGCCGGTGCCGCAGGTGATGGATTAACCTGTGCCACAGCACCAGCCCCATATTTTATTTTATTTGAAGGAGTTACAGAGGAGGGGGGAGAAAGATCTTCATTTGCTCATTCAATCACCAGGTGGCCATAACGGCTGGGGAATGGGCCAGGCCAAAGCCAGGAGCCAGGAGCTTCATCCAGGTCTCCCACTGGGTGTCGGGCCCAAGTGCTTGAGCTGTTTTCCACTCCTTTTCCAAGGCATTACCAGGGAGCTGGATAGGAAGTGGAGCAACTGAAACATGAACTGGCGCCCATATGGGATGCTTGTGTTCGGGTGGTAGCTTTACCCGCTGTGCCACATCACTGGTCCTTGGGATGACTTCTTCTTTTTTTTTTTTTTTTTTTAAGATTTATTTATTTATTTGAAAGGCAGAGTTACAGAGAGGCGGAAGCAGAGAGAGAGAGAGAGGTCTTCCACCTGCTGGTTCAATCCCCAGATGGCTGCAAGGGCTGGAGCTGGACCTATCTGAAGTCAGGAGCCAGGGACTTCTTCCAGGTCTCTCGTGTGGGTGCAGGGGCCCAAGGTCTTGGATCATCTTCTGCTTTCCCAGGCCATGGCAGAGAGCTGGATCAGAAGTGGAGTACCTGGGACTCGAACTGGCAACCATATGTGTTGCAGGCACTTCAGGCCAAGGTGTTAACCTGCTGCGCCACACAGCACCAGCCCCTGGATTGACTTCTAAAACTAAAGTATTAAGGGGCCAGCATTATGGCACAGCAGGGACCCAACTGGCCTATTGATCTGGGACTTCCAGCCTCCAGAACTGTGAGAAAATTTCTGTTGTTTAAGCCACCCAGTGTGTGGTATTTTATATGGCAGCCTAAGCAGACTGGAACCACCTGTCTGATGCTGGCAAGTTATTGCATCTCTGAGCCTCAGATTTCTCCTTCATAAAACAGGGTTAATCCTACTCACAGGTCTGGGCATTCGGTGCAGCAGTTGAGATGCCACTTGGGACTCCCACATCTCTCATCAGAGATTAAGTCCCAGCTCTACTTTCTGTCCGGCTTCTGTTAATGCATACCCTGGGAGACAACAGATGATGGCTCAAATGCTTGAGTCCCTGCCACCTATGTGGGAGACTCAGATTGAATTCCAAGATCCTGAAAAACCTATTTTTGGCCTGGCCCAGCTCTGGGTGTTGGGGACATTTGAGGAGTGAATCAGTACGTCTCTTCTAGGTCTCCCACGTGGGAGGAGGAGCCCAGAAACTTGGGCCATCTTCCGTGGCTTTCCCAGCGCATTAGCAGGGAGCAGCATTGTAAGTGGAGCAGCCAGGACTCAAATTGGCTCCCATATGGGCTGCCAGTGCTGCAGACCATGGCTTAACCTGCTATGCCACAGCATGGGCCTTCTAAATAGAATTTTTAAAAAAGAATGTTAGCCGGGCTGGCACCATGGTGGTTAATCCTCTGCCTGCGGTACCAGCATCCCATGTGGGTGCTGGGTTCTGGTCCTGGTTGCTCTTCTTCCAGTCCAGTTCTCTCTGCTGTGGCCCGGGAGGGCAGTGGAGGATGGCCCGAGTGCTTGGGCCCCTGCACCCGCATGGGAGACCAGGAGGAGGCACCTGGCTCCTGGCTTCGGATTGGTGCAGCGCTGGCCATAGCGGCCATTTGTGGGGTAAACCAATGGAAGGAAGACCTTTCTCTCTGTCTATAACTCTACCTGTCAAATAAAAAAATAAAATAAAATAAAATAAAAAGAATGTTAGCCAGAAAATTGTGGGTGATTGAGGTAGCATGGAGTACCTGGCATGCAGTACAGTTCTGAAATGAAGACTCTTGATTTTGTTACTGTGTGCACTTGAGCATTTTATATTTATGGTTTCTATTGTTCTCAAGAGATACTAATGTCTTTCTCGTGTAGTAATGTATAATTTTGAAGAACATGAATCAATCCGCTTTCATTGGAGATATTTGTGCTGGAATGGGCCTCATCTCACTCTGGGAGTGAGCTTGGCTGGCGTCCCCACTTCTGTGTCCCAACACATCTGTCTCTGCTGATCACACAGGCAGAAGTAACTCTGCTGAATGAATCAAAGGGTTTTTTAAATTTACCTGAACTCATAGTTAATGTTATATCAGTGATAACAGAGTATATAGTTGTCCCTCTACATCTGTGGGTTCAGCCAACCATGTATTGAAAATATTAGAAATAAAATTGTATATGCTGAGCATCTACAGAGTTTTTTCCTTGTTCCTAAACAACTATTTATATAGCGTTTCTATTGTATATTATAAGTAATGTAGAGGTGATTTAAAGTATACAGGAGGATGTGTGTGAGTTATGCAAATATTGTGTCATTTTATAAAAGGTACTTGAGTATCCACAGATTCTGACATCCCTGGTGAGTTCTAAAATCAGTCTCCTTTGGATACCAATAGTTGACTATAATTTGATGTAGAATTTGAGTGATCATATTATTGCCTTGAAACATCTCTAAGTAAAAGGTGGTGTTGAAAAAACTAAAATCATGTAATATTTTGACCTTCACAGTTACTGACTTACAAATTGGTTTTATTATATAGCTAGTCCTAGAAGAATAGTTTCATTCAAAAATAAGATTTTCTAAGAAACTTAAAATAACATTTGTGTACATTAAATGCATCTTTATATTAATCTAAACATTAAGGTAATATGCAGAATAGTTAGTCTTGATGCTTATTCATGTACTTTATTAGTTTCTTACCCATGTTTATATCTATTATTTTTCTTATATTTCTCTGAAGGTTGTATATTTTTTCAATATGCTCTTATTTTTTCTTTACATAAAAAATTCTTTTTATAAAAGATCTATTTATTT